AAATGCAATGGATTTCTTCTAGTGATGACCTTGAACTATCTTCTTATGTCTGTTTATGTTTCAAGTGTCACACGGAACGGATTTTATTTAAGTATGCATAACAATGACACGAACTAGTGATTCAATATATATAGTTGGCACTCACAAGCACCCCATTATTTATCAACAAAACTGAAAATCTCGAATAGCAAATTGTTATGACTTAAAAGTGTTCCTATGAGTCATATAGATCTCGACGACAAGAGTGGTCAGACCTGAATTTTGAGTGTTCATTTTGGTTTGATGAGGACCCAATAACAATTGTGACACTAATTTAAAAACCAGGTCGTTTTTGGTGTTATTTTGGTACATTTCAATAGTCATCTTCAGAAGTGCTTCGTGATACGTCGTTGAAATGTAATAGGCCACAATAAACTACAATGATTCGTATACACAAGATGTATTAAATCTTTGAATCATTAATTTCCCTCTGCTCTTAATCAATTAAACTTATTTGTAATCTTCAATTTAGTAAGATGCATTCAGTAATTATCAAGCTATTGTTTAAAGCAAGCAAGTTGTTTAATACATTTGATAATCGTTTGTATATTGAAGGAATAAATTCACCATAGAATAACAGTATTTGAAGTGCATTTGACAGTTAGAGACTGTGTATCGTTTCACACACAGATATATCTGCCACGTACATGTCAAAAACATTCAGTTCTCTATGCGTCTGTGAGAATTCGCTGTGACTACCTGTGTGTGATGATCACTGTTGATGAAAAATTGAAATACTGACTAGCAACAAATTAAAAAACTGATAACCATTTTTGTAGTTTTGCACGTTCCAGTTTGAAATCAAGACGAGAATGTTGATTATACTGATATTATTTGTATTTGGAATCGAAAATAGGCAGCAAATAATAAAGTGCAAACGAAATCATCATTTGTGGAATAAGCCAGTCTCTTAAGAGAATGGACGACCAAAGGAGCTTAGAATTTCGCGAGAAATGGATCACAATAATCTGAACAACAATATCATTATCATCTCAGTTGACAAAATGAACTTCACCTACCATACATTCATTCATATTATATTGCTGACTATTCATCGATGTTCAGATCAAAATGGACAATGGTTTTCGAGCTTGTCATGCAGAAGTGGTACTGAATGTATTCAGTTATGTAGATCGAAGTTGCCAATGACTGGAGTAAATGGAAATCGATGTACTTCATTAAAAGCGAACTGTCGAAAATCGAGATGGGTTCTTTGAAATAAAACACAGATTTGTAATTAAAACAGTTATTATTGTATACGGAAATCGGAAACATTGGCAATACGCAAGTAGCGGACTAGTGTTTTTGGTATTTCAAATAATTATTTTAACACATTATTCGAGAATGAATAAATATTTGCAAATAGTTTTCCACTTTATGAAGTAGATGATAGTTGTTTCACTTTAGAAATATGTTGACAGTAATCAATGTGTTGTTTTCTCGAGTATCGCAGTCCGCAGTCAAAAAAACACTTGTTGGGCATTTCCGTGAATTCTTCATCATCAAAAATATTATCAATTATACATTGCCCGTTCTATGCCGTTACACGACGTTCGTCAGTTCTTCTAGATGACTCACTATTTTATACTCTACTGAACTATACCTTCACAGGCACTTGGAAAAAGACATTTACGCATTGTGGAGCGTGCTGACGGAAGTTAATAAAGTGTGTGGTTGATCAATAATTTTTGTCGTCGATGGACATTGAATTTTTTTTCTGAAGTCTGTTAAGTGTTACCTGATAAGCTTTTAACCATCCGTCTCCTTCACACTTTATATATGTCCATTCATTAGGATCCATGTATGCAAGCAGAAGTATGAAAGCTTTATAGAAAATAAATTCTGTAACGAACAAGTTTTTCCTGTTGTCCTAATCAGTAAATTGTATACTAACTCATGTTTCTGATTAAAAACGTTAAACAGATTTCTATTCTTCTCAAAAAACATCTCTTTTAATTACAGCTAGTTACTTCGCTCGCTTTATATATGCGGTTATCAGTTTTCTCACTTTATCTTTTTGTAAATGAGACATATTGATAAACGTTTTGAGGAGAATTCATATTGTACATCACGTTAAATAAACGCATTAGTCATAATCACAATGTCAGATCATCATCTATATTAGTCGATGTATATTCATTATGTCATTGCAAATATTTATCATATTCTAAATGTTAAGTTTCATCGTCCATGGATTCATTACAGTCTACGTAATGCCATGCAGTTTTCACAAAAACTAATGGAAACAACATTTTGTTTACACGTGGTGTACGTTATCGTTTTTTCTCAGTACAGTGTGCGATTATTACTCCTCAGTACATTTTCGTGAGTGATTAGTGCATTCTCTGAATGTATTATCAATATGTGAACATTTCATTGTCGATCACAAAATGGCTCTACGTTTCAATGATAACCAGGTTCAACATTCATTGAAAATGTAAAGATTTTCAAGTTCCAATAAATAGAATTTGATATAACATATAATGTTCATTGTGTTATCAACTGATAAATTCTTCTGCGGTCAAATGTGTAAAGTTTAATTTGACTGTACTTGTTCTTGATTTTATCGTGAATTTTCAAATTGAATCAAATGAACACGCTGAACATAACAAACATTTAATGTTCAAGTTTACATGTAATACACAATTACTTACTTGCTTACGCCTGTTACCCATCATGAAGGAACACAGTTCACACGCAATTATTCTCCATTTAACTCTGTCCTGGATAATCACTTCGAAATAGGACCTGCCTCGTGATGCAGTTTATTGATATTCGTAACGTATGTCCTATCCACGTACACCGTCGTTTCTCAATTTTCTCTCCAACCAAAAGCTAGTCCGTTCTCTCACTTGACAGGCTGTTGCTTTTGTATCGTACGTGAGCAATATTATTCAACGAGTTAATTTGATGTTTATTTAAATTTGAGAGATATACTGTTGACAGAATGAAATATCTGGCCAGTCAGTCGTTCGTTGTACTGTTTTGTATTACATAAGTTTTCTACTCCGTTTATGTAAAGTGAAGGGTGTGTTTATGAATGGTATTTCGACTTCATGTTACAACATTGAATTCAAGTCGTCATCGGCATTCAAATCAATATATGTTATAAACAAAACAATGAATTAATGACGACTATAAGAATGTTATATAAGATCACTCCAAAATTTCTGTACTGAAACATACAGAATGTGCTAAACAGCAAACAGAATACTGCAGACCTAAATTACTACACATCAAAACATCAACAACAGTACTGAGCTCAATTTCCATTGGGATGTGAGAAGGAATATTAGAAATAGTCTGTAATAAAGACGTGTTTTCAAAAATTGTCAAATTAAATCACGAAATCGAAGTTATTGATTTGGAGCTCAATGAAAATGAAGGGCAACGGGCTAATTTGTAACATGCATATTTGGTTGCTCTGAGTAAGGAAAGTAATTGGAACCGTTCTACAACCTCAAAACCCAGACGAATATTCACTGAAGACACAACTGATGATAAGTTGAATATAATCCTGCAAAAGTTTCTGGAGAATGGAATCCCACCAATCTGAACTTTTAGCAGTAATTTGAAACCAGTATGTCAAGTTGAAAATACTTGAACAATTTCGCGGAGTGTTTTCTTCCTGATAATCGAATTCACAGTGAACATAGTGTTTAAAAATTAAGAGAACAGATTATCCAGGTGCTTCAAAAGCACACATTATTCTGCAGCGTTCCCAACTGTTTTCACCTTCAACAAACTCATTCAGTGAACTCTCAAGTATCAACTGACGGTTAGAGCCGTCTAAATGTTCATTGATCAACATATGCACTGAAGGCACAACTGGTGATGAGTTGATCCCGATTTCAAATGCACATGTGAAGAATATCTTCAAACGCATGTCAACTGACAGTGCTAATTAGTGATGAACAGAAAGACCATGATATGTGACTTTTGTTACGAAGTATTTATCACGGATTGTTCGTTGCTTTAGTTATTTGTATGTCGTCTTCTCCAATTCGGTCGAGTGAGCGTGCATCTTTCACTCCTCTACTTTACTCTACACCATTATTTCTTTGAAAACAACAAGAAAGTATGGTTGAAATGATTCAAAAGAAAAATTGTCGAACAGGACCATATTATTCCCGACAAACAATATTTGCTTCATCTCAGCACAACATGTTGATGATTTCTCTTCTCAAAACTGTTTAGACTGTGGACTGTACCTTGATGACTTAATCAGGAATATGTGTTTGAATATGACACATAATCGTCATATGTACTTGAGTTCTTCTAACTCTGCCTGTAGCTTTTATAGTGTTGCTGCCGGTCCCAAGTCCGGTTAAATTAGGAGGGTTGAGCATGGATTCAGCGTTTTCATCCCGTCGAAAACTAACTTGCTAAAAAAGCGCTTACCAGAAAAAATAATCCAAACCATTTAAACTCTGCCCTGCGAGTTAGAAGGTCTTCATTTAGAAGAATTATGACGCTTCATGGTGAAAGCCGAGTTCCTTCGGAAGCCACGAAGCCGATGTACCTTCTAACAACCAGAGCAAACATTTTTATAGATACATGGAACGTTCGTACTTTGTGGGAAACCGGGAAGACCAGTCAAATAGCAATGGAAATGAAGAGATACAACTTAGCAGTACTGGGAATCAGCGAATCCTAATGGACCCAAGCTGGAAAGAAAAGGCTAGCTTCGGGAGAGATGCTGCTGTACTCCCGTCACGAAGAGAACAATGCTACACACACTCAGGAAGTTGCTCTTATGCTGTCCAAAGTAGCACGAAATGCACTTGTAGGATGGGAATCTCACGGATCCAGAATCATCAAAACAAAGAGGGAGGGGATCCCAATAAATATTATCCAATGTTATGCACCCACAAATGATAGCAACGACGACATTAAAGACCAGGTTTACGAGCGGCTGCAGTCAGTCATTGAGAAATGCTCAAAAAAGGACCTAACTATTCTGATGGGAGATTTAAATGCCAAAGTCAGAATAGACAACATTGGATATGAAGATATTATGGGACGACATGGATTGGGAGAAAGAAACCAAAATGGAGAAAGATTTGCAAATCTATGTGCATTCAACAAATTGGTCATAGGAGGCACAATATTTGGCACAGAAGCGTATACACAAGGCTACACGGATCAAACTACAGAGAACCAAATAGATCATATTTGCATCAACAAGAAATTTCTAAGGACAATGGAAGATGTGAGAACCAGAAGAGGTGCTGACGTGGCTTCATATCAAGATAGCTCTCAACAACAGGTTCCAAGCCTTACAAGATCTACTGAAAGAAGAAGAAACTAGTATGGATGGAAACTAGAAAATCATCAATGAAGCATTAACTTCAACGTGTCATGAGGTTCTGGGACTAAATGAACACCATCATAAGCAGTGGATCTCTACAGAAACACTGGACAAGGTCAAAGAAAAGAAAAACAAGAAGGCAGCAATTAACAACAGCTGAACACGAGCAGAGAAATTCCAAGCACAAGCTGAATACATAGAAACAATCAAGCAAGTGAAGATGAGCATTAGAGCCAACAAGAAGAAATACGTGGAAGAACTAGCAACGACGGCAGAAAAAGCTGCTAGAGAAGGAAATATGAAACAGCTTCACGACACAACAAAAAAGCTATCAGGAAAATACAGTAAACCAGACAGAACCGTCAAAGACAAAGAAGGCAAGTCAATTACCGAAATTCAACAACAGCGGAACAGATTGGTAGAATACTTCGAGGAACTCCTGAATAGGCCGGTTCCAATGAATCCACTGGACATCAAAGCAGCACACATAGATCTTCCTATAGATGTCAATCCACCAACGACGGAAAAAATTAGAATGGCCGTCAAACAAATCAAGAACGGGAAAGAAGCAGGATTCGAAGACATACCAGCTGAAGTACTGAAATCAGACATCGAAGCAACCACAAACATGCTTTACCTTCTATTCAAAAAGATTTAGGAGGAGGAACAAGTGCCGATGGACTGGAAAGAAGGACAACTCGTCAAGATTCCAAAAAAAGGAGATCTGAGCAAATGTGAAAACTACAGAGGCATTACACTGCTGTCAATACCAGGGAAGGTCTTCAACAAAGTGTTGCTGAACCGGATGAAAGATGCAGTAGACGCCCAACTTCGAGACCAACAAGCTGGATTCCGTAAGGATCGACACTACGGAATTCCTGAGAAGATTGTCAACATCATCCGGAACTCATACGACGGACTACAGTGCAAAGTAGTGCATGGAGGACAGCTGACAAATGCATTCCAAGTAAGAACCGGAGTCAGTCAAGGCTGTTTACTCTCTCTCTTCCTCTTCCTTCTGGTGGTCGACTGAATTATGAAGACCTCGACATCTGAAGGAAAACACGGTTTTCAATGGACAGCTCGAAATCAATTAGTCGATTTGGACTTCGCAGATGACCTAGCCCTTTATCATGTACACACGAACTGATGCAGATGAAGATAGACAGTGTAGCAGCATTCTCTGCATTGGTAGGCCTCAGTATACACAAAGGGAAAACCAAAGTCCTCAAATTCAAGGCGGAGAACAGCAACCCAATCACTCTTGATGGCGAAACTCTGGAAAATGTAGGGTCCTTCACATAACTAGGAAGCATCATCGATGAACAAGGAGGTTCAGATGCAGACGTAATGGCAAGGATTGACAAATCAAAGACAGCATTCCTACAATTAAAGAACATATGGAACTCAAAACAACTTTCAACCAATCAGCTTCCAGCTGAGGAATATATTAGGAAAAGACGATGGAAATGAATAGGACATACATTACGCAAATCATCAAACTGCATCACGAGACAAGCCCTAACTTGGAATCCTGAATGGAAGCAAAAAAGAGGAAGCCCAAAAAACACATTGCGTCGGATAATAGAAGCAGATATCAAAACGATGAATTACAACTGGACGGAGCTAGAAAGGATTGCCCAGGACAGAGTTGGATGGAGAATGCTATTGAGCGGCCTATGCTCCTTCAAGAGGAGTAACAGGCGTAAGTAAGTAAGTAAGTAACTTGAGTTCTTCTAATCTAATGTGCGTTCTCGAATAAAAGATATTTTTCCAAAATAATTATACTGAAAATAATAACATTCATAATCTGAGAGTCTGATTTGTAAATATCTGTCTGTTGACCTCAATTGTAGCGATTTCAGTTTTCATACTTTCTTGATGTTGACCACCATATTTTACCTAATTATTCAAACCACATGATATTATCTATTGTGTAGCGAGAATAAAAACAGTCCAAATATAATGAGGAATGCCACATTCTAATACTGTGTTCAGATGAATGAAAATCAAGACACGCATAGAACAATGATAAATGAAATGAATACCACTTTTCTAAAAACGTGTATTCAATATGAAGTGATTATTCGGAAAACATCCAGTTTACATACTTATATATTTGCTTCTTAAAATCTGTTGAATCGTTCCGTTGTTTCTTTTACAAATACGTCGAAAAAAGAAAAAAGCAACTTCTAACACTAGTGCAGATTCAGAAAACAAAACTTTTTACAGTTTCATGTTCAACCTGGATACTTTATATACGCTGGAACCGAATATGACGCAACCTGTAATTGTTGTGGTGATTTTCTATTGAGTGAAGCATTTTGGACGGTTGACAGGTGTCCGTCGAGTTTTTGTGAAGACTCTTAACACACAAATATATATGCTGAGACCTAATACGGTTACATTAATTTCAGTGACGAGTTTTGTTACATTATTGAGTTGAGTTTTCAAGCTAACTATTACTGGGTTTCTCCATGCTTTCCACGGATATTCACTCAACCTGAAGAGGCGAGATATCAAATAGAAGCTGATGAGCGAATGTTTCTAGCCGCATGATTTTATTTATTTATTAAGTGAATCTGATCTGAAACGAAATTGTAACCGTTTTTCGCCAAAATATTTGTCTTTCTTAGCTCGACAGCGAAATGTTGACTTAAAGGTTACAACTGATTTCTTTTCAATGGTTATTTGCTTGTAATTTGACAATGAGTAAAGAGATGGTATCATATTCGATCATGTATTTACTCTGAAAAAGTGGCTTACATTAAGTTACGAAATGTCAGATGTGCAAATTTTTTCCCCATGAGGTAATAACCAAAATTACACTAATACACTTTGGTTTTACTTGAAAACATATACTGCTCATTAGCAGTTGAATACCAATTTACTATCACTATATAGTGATCATCATCATGTTTTCCTTGACGTTGGTCGTTGTCCAGTTCTTTCATTGACGTTCCAGTGTGAAGACCAGTCTTGAGGATTTGATGCTGACACTTAAACACAAAATATAGTGCAGACAATCAGAGAGCTTGCGATAAAGGTTAAAACCGTGATAAGTGCATTGTTCCATAAAATCAGCAGATTCCGCTTGTTGTTCCATTTTTGAATGTCGGTAGTTCAAGAAGTCCATCAATAGTTTGCAGGAGGTTCACTTGTCTATTTTGCCTTAATGCGATTTACCAACTCACAAATGTTTGTCACGCAGTTTTTTTGTTCCCTGAGTCATATGATCCTAATTTCGTGGATAAATACACTTCGATGATGACCAAATGTATGTTTTTACTGAATATGGATCTAGGTTGATAAAAACAGTTGAGTGAAGTAGACCGAATTGTCCATGAAAATAAACGTGTTTTATGTATCATTCATTTAACATTAGAAATGGTATTTTGGAATTCACATAAGTGAAAACGTCTTTATTGTTCGACCCTTCAAAACGCTCGAAAATTCTCACATTATTGTTACGATGACTGTTATAACTGCCAATATTGTTGTTGAATCTGTATTTGAACTACTATTCTAGGTTTGTTCTTGTTGCTACATTCAAATTAAACATTCGTTCAGATGTCTGAGGAATGATTTCTTTTCAGATCAGCATGTTTGTGGCCTGACCTTCAGTTGTATTATTCATTTACACATATTTATCTGAAATAAAGCACATGGCGGTTGGTTTGAACTTTGCATTGCGATTGTAAGTTACTCAGTACATAACTTCTAAACGGCATAATGATTAACGATTGTGGAAAAATCTGTCGACTGTTTAAGATACAAGACCCAAAAATCCTCAATCCTTCCAATAATAACACCTCTGCTTTTGTCTACATCACATGAACTGTTAATGTTGGCAGTGAATATATTCCACACCAATTTCTAAGAGACTCAGTTCCTAATTTATTAACAAGTTCTATTTTGAGATCAAAAAGCCTCAATAATATTAAACGTGACTGAGACAGTGTCTAAAGCGGTGAAGTGATATGCGTCTAAAGCTGTGTAGTCACAAGCTGGTTTTTTCAAAGCATGATGAGATTAGGCACGAATCAAAGACATGATCACCTCTCAAGCTGTTTTTATCAAAAGATGTTGTTCCTGCGGACGTTGTAGACGTCATTAGATTAGAATCTGTTATGTATCTTATATATTGCAAATTTGTTAGATGAAGAGTATCTTAAAATAATGTGTTTATCTATAACATACTCAAAAATTTGTCTATGAATCAGTAAAAAATTTGATAATGAAGACAACTGACCCCTACGGTTGTCCGTGTCAGTGTATTTGCTTTTATAAAAAAGCACCAGAGGACCACGTGCCATATCGTGTTTAGTTTCGATTCTTATTTATTATCTGAACAGCTTAAAGAAGCTGAACGGCTAATGTGTGCGCTTACGAAGATTAGAATTGCTCGTATAATCGTGGATAAAAACACGAGTGGTAAACTTACCAATAAAGATTACAGCTATATTGACTCCACATATGCAATGCATGTCTAGTGGAAATATTATTTCGGTAACTTCCAATGTACCACTAAAAACGCAAACATACATACCTAGTTCCAACAACCATCACAAACATCGTGTATACTGACCTAGACGACAGTGTACCTATCGTTATAAATACCGCAAAGGTTCCAAAAACTTATGAAGTAGACGGCATTTCATCATTTATCTACAAAGACAGTGGCTCAGATATTCTAAATCTCCCACAAAAGCCGATTACTCTCTCTACAGAAGCAAGTACTTAACCTCACTGCTGGAAAATTGCGTACACCATACAACAGACATGAACAATTATATCTACATCAACATAGTTTCGGCTATCTCTGGAATTATTGACGAACTCTCCAACCATTTACGCATAGTATAGTGATTCTCAGCACGTATATCCGAGAGCAGATTCGTGTGATAAATCAATCTTGAATTTAGTTTTTCCAAACGTTAATGAAGATATCTAGTTTTAATGCTATATTTTGAATTTTTTAAAGTGTTCGGCATATTCAGCCGCCTACTTCCTATGGAAAACCGCGCATGATACCGGTTGTGATACTTACCGACATCAGATAGTCAAAATGGATTCTCCGTTGTCTAACGCTGTCTTTGTCAGACGTCATATAATACGAAGTGTTGTCTTGGGCTCATTGCTGTTTTTAGCTTTTATGAAT